GCAAGTTGCTCAAAATGTCTGTGCCATTTAACAAATGGAAGTCTCGGATCTCTCTACCTCTTTAAGCTGTTGTCAAAATTAAAATAATTAATATTATGACGTCTTTAGGCCTTGCACATAGCACCCATGACACAAATTTGTTTGAGATAAACCAAGCTGTCCATCAGAGTGCTAGCACACCGAATCCCTCCAGGGATGGGAGCTCAGAGACCATCCAGCACCAAGATAGAGGGCAGCAGAAACACCTGAAAACATTGCAAACCCTGGGCTTTGGAGTGCAGGAGATTTCTGTCCCTGCGCTCTTGCCTACCCAGGACTATACTCTAGACTCACTGCTTGGGTCCAGACCTCCCCACACCCGCGCCACCCCCACCGAGGCGCTCTGAGTTTCCTGCCTGACCGAGGCCCAGCTCGGGGTGGGGGTGGGGGTGGGGGGCGGGTGGAGGAGGGCTGGCATTTCCTGGCCGCCGCGTCACTGGCTCAGGGGCGCTCGGACAAAGCGCTGACCGACAGGCACCAGATACTATTTCGGGCAGCGCCCGGCTTAGCTCACAGTTTCCGTTTTTCCACCGTCGGAAACAAGGAACGCGGAGCCTGCACACGTCACGAGCCCCCAGCCTCAAGCTATGGTCCCCGGCCCAGGAGGAGCAAGGCTGCTGAGCTCCATGTGTTAGAAGCTGGAAATGGGCAGACGCTGAACCTGCATCTTTCATCCAACCTTATTCCTTAACCCACCTTGGAAACACTGGAGAAGGCCATTTCACACCCTGGAAAAAGGTCTAGCGGTCATCGGTCATCGAGTTCAAGACAAAATACATAACCTTCCCAAGTCCCTAGGCCTCTAGATAGCCCCACCCCACCCCCTCTCCTGAAGTAACCAAATGGCCCTAGACATCCAGAAACTCAAGGTTGCCTAGATTTTTCCATTTACCTTACTCTCTACCCCAGTTCTTCCAAACTAGGTCTTACACATTATTTACAAAACATTCACCTTCACATTCTCTTTTCCAACCCCTTCCTCTAAGAAAGATTAGACCAAGAGCTTTACCCCCTTCCCTGGTCTCCATGCTGGCCCCATTTCAACCCAAGGGTTTCCTAAAGAAGCAAATCAGGTCTTAGCAGAGGACACCAAGCCCTTATGTAAACAAACAAAACGGTAAAAACAAAACCTTTACTTCCTCCACCCATACTGTACCGTTTTCCGTTTCTTACATGAACTCTCCCACCGCAGCCATTGGTCCAGGCCTGGCTTTCTCTTTCTCTGGGAAACATGCCCATCTAAGCTCAAATACAGTACAGGAATAGATGTCCTCTTTGTGCAGGAGTTAGGACAGTGATTCTCAACCTTCTTAATGCAGCGACCACTTAATACACTTCCTCATGTTGTGGTGCCCCCCCCCCAGTCATACATTATTTTCATTGTTACTTCATGACTGTATTTTTTGCAACTCTTATGAATTGTCATGTAAATATCCGGGTATTTCCGGTGGTCTTAGGTGACCCCATGGTCGAGGGTTGAGAGGCACAGAGTAAGGTGCTGTTGAGTGACTTGCTCTACAGCACAGGCAGAGTGGGTTCAATCTCATGGCCACTTGCCTTTCACTCTTTCTAAACAAGCGACCAAGCAAAGGCTAGGGCTTTGTGGGGAGGGGTGAGGAAGGAATGGATATTTTTCTCAGGATACCGGTGGCCCTTTTACTAGGGGGTTCCATGGAAATTGCCTGTACATACACAGCAGCTGCACTTTCATCACAGGACGCAGGGACAGGCGGCACAGACAGGCATACTGAACTACACTCCATTTCATGTAGTAGTCTTGAAATCTAGCAGGGACCGAATTCAGACAGGGGCCACACCTGGGATCTGCCCTTGACCAGACTAGGACTTTTGCATTCAAAACTACTAGGAGGTCAGCAGTCTGGTGTGCTGAGTGGAGCTGTGGGTTGGGAATTGGACAACAGATGTTGACTTTTCACTAGCTGTGTTTGGTCAAGTCACATCTCTCTGCCCCTTAATTTTCTTTAATGTCCTTAATTTCTTTATGACAACCAGACAAGTGCATATGATGTTACATTAGATCTCAACCACCTGCTTTTAAAATTATTTTTGTTATGCTATATATCATATATATGTAGGCTACCACCACCTGGCTTTATCTAGGTTTATTTGAGAAAGGGTTTCTCTATGTAGTTTTGACTATCCTGAGATGTGCCTGCCTCTGCGAGTGTTGGGGTTAAAGGTGAGTGCCTTTATTTATTTATTTTTTAATTTATTTTTCAGTTTAAATTTAGATAAGAAACAAGGTTGCTTCACAAGTCAGTTCCAGGTCCCTCTCCCTTTCCCTCCCCTCCTCCCATGCCCTCTCTCCAACCCCCCCCATTATCCCCTCATTTCCCCAAGGAGGGTGAGGCCCTCCATGGGGGTATCCATAGTCTGTCATTTCATATAGGGCAGGGCCTAGACCCTTCCCCAAAAGTTCAGGGTGAGAGTGCACCTCTAAAGGTGAGTGCCTTTTATTCTTTCAGAATTTCATAAAATATATTTTGGTCATGTTAACACACCCTCAACTACTCCCCTACCTCCTCACATCCGAGCGTCTTTTTTTTTTTTAACTCACTCAGAGACTGGAGAGATGGCTCATTGATTAACAGCACTGGCTGCCCTTCCAGAGGGCCTGGATTTGATTTCCAGTGCCTACATGTTGGGCTCACAAATACTCTTAAATCCTGTTCTCAGGAAGCCAACCCCTTCTTCTGGCCTCTGAACACAGTACACAGACATTCATATAGACAAAACACTCATACACATAATTTTTAAGGAAATTATTTCCAACTTATGATGCCCATTAACTCATGGGTATGGGGCTATCCACAAAGGGTGGTCTATGTACCAAGGGTCATACTTAGAAAAAAAAGACTCCCCTCCTCTAGACGTCATCAACTGTCAATAGCTTGTTGATTAAGGGTGGGGCCTCATGAGCCCCTTGCCTGTCCATGCTAGAATCTGAGTTGATCTTGGGCAGGCCCCCACAGCTGGGAGTTGATCAATGCAGTGGTCCTGTAATGACCAGAAGACACTGCTTCACTTTGGCCCTCCCTAACTGGCTCTTATACTTGTTTTCTTTTGTCTCACCTCCTCCTCTTCAAGGCAGGGTCTCTTTATGTAGCTGATTAGCTGCAGCTGATCTGGAACTCTAAATGTAGACCAGGCTATCCTTGAAATCATGGACACCCACTTGCCTCTACCTCCCAACAGCTGGAGTTAAAGGTATACACCACCACAGTCAGCATTAGTCTCTCTTATTTTTTGAGACATCATCTCATGTAGCCCAAAACTGGCGTAGGATTCCATAAATTGTTGAAAATGACCTTTAACTTCTGATTCCTTTGTCTTTACCTCCTGCGCAGTAGGATTACAGGATCCAGCTTCCACCATTATGAAAAGATAAGCCCAGATACGCTTCAGCCCATTTGTTTCCTACAATGAGCTGAGCATATTGGCTTCAGTGCCAAACTTGCTTCAAATCAGGCTTCCTTCTGTCACTCACTAGAAATTTACCATCAAGTTACCTGCCGCCCCCACTCACTTTTCTCACCTGTAAACTGGAAATAATAAAAGCACCAATTTAAAGATTGTGCTAGATGAAGGGAAAGAGTGTCACTAAAGCAGGCTTTGTTCAAAGGTGCCTTAATAATATCTAATTGTATGGTAATTGAAAAATGAAAGCCGGCGGCTGGATGAGGTGCACGCCTTTAATACCAACACTTTGGAGGCTTTGGAGGCAGAGGCAGGTGGATCCCTGAGTTGGAAGACAGACTGGTCTAACAATGAATTCCAGGACAACTAGGGATACACAGAGAAACCCTATTTCGTAAAACCAAAACCAAAAGAAAAAGAAGAAAGCCAATTTAGAGTTCACTAATTTATGTACTTGATTGTTTTTCATTTTTTACAGCGCTGGGAATCGAATCATTGGCCTTGCACTGGATAGGCAAGACCTCAACATTCGATGTATTTCCTGTCCTTATGGATGTTTAATGAAAAGTAAATAGTATCTGTAGAATGTTCGAAACAATGCTTCAGCACTAAGATTAAAGTGTTAAGCAACAGGGCAGCAAGGGTGGGAGAGTTTAGTGGGTTCTGTTTTTATCCTGAAACCAAACCGAAGGGATAGTTAGTTTTTCCAGATGTCTTTTCTGTTTCCCATAGAACCCCTTAGACTTGAGCAACTCCAGTTTGATGGTCAGGGGCCAACACTGACTATCAGCGAGGAGCTGGGGTTCTATGGATATGGGAGTAAGAGAAACAGCCACAGGCTGTTTGGTTTTGAAGACACAGGAGAAAGAATGAATGAAGAAGCAAAGGTTGGAGGTGATGGTTCGGGAGTCAGGGTGGCCTTAAAAGGCTAAAGCTTTGGCCAAAGCTGTTGAAGGAGCATCTGGGAGGCGGAGAACCCGGTGCGTTTATTTGTGGGGGAGCGGGAATCCCGAGAGACCAGGGGTGGAAAATGGGACTGGACCCGCCAAGTCCCAGCGTGCACGCTCAGCCCTCTCCGCTGCGCATTCCTGGGCCAGCCCAGCGCCGCAACCCGTCCTCGCTGCCTCCAGAGAAATTGCCAAATTAAAATGAATCATTTGGCCCATAATGGCCGAGGCGCTTATCGGGGGCGGGCGGGCCCGCGGCGGCGCCTTATCTCGGCGGCGCACACGGCCGGTGCTAACGAGGCTGCGGGCGGGAGCCGGATTAGAGCGCGCGACTGGGCACGGGCGGGGGCGGCCCAACATGGCCATGAGCGCAAAGCCCGAGAGCATCCCTGCCTTTTTCCCGTGGACAGGCGACAGCTGCCTCCCGCGGAATTGCCCGTCGGTTTCTACAGTCCTTTCCCGTGCACGCCGAAGCCTGGGCTCCCTCTCCCCTGGCTCTTCCCGGGGGGTACTTTCCACGCCGCCCCTCCCGCCGGGGAGACTCTCTTCCTTCCTTCCCCCTTTCCCCTTGCGCAACAGACAGAAAAACGCTAGGCGCTGGCGGCTTCCATTGCTTCTGGGCTGTGTGTGCGGGCGGCCGGGCTGAGAGTGCGTGCGTGAGCGGCAGGCCGCGGTGGCTGCTCCCCGCGTGGGCTTTGGGCGATAAGTCGTGTGTGGGAGTGTGAAGCCTGCACTGCTTAGGTGTGGGGACTGCGACCCTCCTGGCCCTTCTGCGTTTTATTCGTTGTATGTAAATTACCCCGTTTCTTTTCTCAACAAGGTCGGTCCTTGTGTCGCAGTGTGTGGCCTTGGACAAAGTGTTGGGCTGGCTTCGTTATGCCGAGCGGGTGTGATCCCCACCCTATGCGGTTGTGTGTCTGTGAGCGATTGCGTGTGACTGATGTCGCTGTGTCATGTTGGTCAGTGTGCCGGTCTGCCTGCCCCGGCTTGTGGGACAGAGCTGTTTTATGTTCATCTGCTTCCCTCCTCTTGGGCTGGACCATGTGTGGTCCTGTCCACCGAGAGTCCTGTGCCTGTGTGCCTGTGTCCTTTAGAGGTGCGTTTGCAAATCGCTGGGGGCGGGAATGGGGGGGAGGGCATGCGAGAGAACGCGGCGCTGGTGGGGGCGTCGGCATGGGGGCGGGGAGCAGGATTTCACATTTTATTCCAAATTATGATGTATTCGGGAGCCAGCGCTGACTCGGGTGGGCGTACAGAGCCCAATGAGCGTCAGCTCTGTCCGAAGGCCGACTGTGCCTTCGTGTTGGGGAGGTTCGCTGTTTGAGGGAGGGGGCGGGCTTGTACTCTGGAAGCTGAACAGCGCTCGCCAAGGCCAGCGTCTTCCCGCCCGCAGCTCCCAGGTTTCGCCCATTTCTGGTCAGTTTCGAGGGTGCTTCCGTGGCGGTTGGGGGAGAGGCCGGGAAGGACAATGGGCGTGCTTTTCAGGTCTGGTGCCACGGGTGGGGGTCCTCGGGATCATCCCGGGGGACATTTTCTCAGTCCCTGCACCATCCTGGCAGGGTAAGATCCAAGGCATGCGGGTGGCTGCCCTCAGAATCCGCTTTCGTTGGCTGGAACGCGTAGTGCCGCCCTAGCTGGACAAGAAAGGATTTCGTTTTCTCTTTACTGTGATAATATCTTCGTCACCACCACCATCACCATTAACACCCCCCTTTAATTAAATAATCGAACAAAAAGCTCACCACCTCGTCCTCTCAGCTGCTTTGGAGGATGAACAAAGCAGCCCCGTCGTCGCCCCTCCCTAGCTCTGTTTTCCAAGTTGCCAGGTTTGGGGTAGGAGAAGAAAATGGAGAGGTACTTGGAATGGAGATTCAGTCATAAAGCAAACATTAACCATAAATAACACCGGGAACTGGTGGACTCCCCGCTCTCCCCTCCCTCCTTCCTTTAGATTAGAAAGGAGAAAGAAAACCTCCCGCACCGAACTGATACCCAGGGAGGAGGCAGCCCTGCTCATTCGCCAAAGCCGCTGCAGAGAAAAGCAGTCTTCGCAATTAAGCTAAGACTTCGACATGCCATTAGAAGGTGGACGACTTAGGCGAAATAAATTAAAAAACCTGAGCCAGGGCTAGGGGAGGGATAAAAGCAAACCAAATCCTCACTCAGAAGCAGTGTCTTCTGACCCGCTTCCCTTCTGCCTTGTTTATTGCTAAAAAAACATTATAAGCATTTTTCCCACCTTCTGCCAATCAAAACCCCAAAGAAAATCGAAAATCGTTTTGTAAAGGTGGTGGAGGAAACCGTGTAGAAATCCCTTCCATTATGTCTCCCTCCCGTAGAAAGAAAACAAGGGAGACCCAACTATACCAGATACAACCCTCTCCCCTCCAACCCTACGGGGAAATGGGACATTTGGAAGCTGGTTCTGCCTTCGTTTGTTGGTAGATGGGGGTCATGAAGGGAATGGCTGGGGGCTCCCAGGTTCTGACCCGGTGACCACGGCCCGAAGATTCTTCTCTTTTCCATTATGTCCTCTCCACCCGCGGCAGAAAGGGAATTACACCTTCGCGTTGTGGAGACTGCCGAAGCCTGGGTTCAGGTTGTCGAGCAAGCTGCATAGACGAATCCATACTTAGAAAACACATTCGACCATTCTGAATCAGACAGACCGGTTAAAGGGTTCGAAAATGTTCTGGGCAGCCTGCCGGGAGAGGCTGTTGTTGTTGGACTAAGTAGTTATTCCTGATTGGTCAGGTGTAGGGTTCATTTTTTTTTAATCGGGACGTGTTTGGGGGATGGGGGCTCCAAACACCTGCAAGTTGGAGGCGGAAAGACGTTTGCTATTCTTTGGGCTGGCGGGGCACACGAGGTAATTCCCAGCCATTGACCCCCCATTTTCTCTCTTGCCCTCCCTCTTTCTCTCCACCCCCATCTTTCCTGGAAACTCGCTTTGGGCGCGGCAGACCGCGCAGGACCTCACCGCTAGCTAAGTAACTGCTGGCCTCTGAACAAGAGCCGGGCAAACACAGATCCGGGTTCCTACCTCGACCCTCTCCAGCCGAGAAGTGGAGGTCCTAACCAGAAGGCCTGTCTTTCTAAATATGCCCCAGGTGAGTGGCGAGCCGCTGTCTTTGGGAGGAGGCAATGTCTGTGGAAACAGTGTTCAGGCTTGCGGACTAGGAAGGGGGAGGCTCAGAACTGAGAAAATGCAGGGTGTGTGTGTGTGTGTGTGTGGGTGAGCAATCTAGGCTAAGAACCCGGGATCTGACTGCCACTAGCTGCCTTAGGTCTCCAGCAGGCCCTTTCCTTTTTCCGGCCTCGGATAAAACCAGTTGGTTGGATATGTCCTCTAGGCCGCTCCCATGGTCCCGGTTCCATGCACATTTCACAAGGCCGGTAACTTTGTTGTGGCTACATCCGGGTGGCTCGGACTGTGCTTGGAGCTCAGGCAGGAAAGAGGCCAAGGCCATCTCGGCTAAGGCCTGAGGCCTAGGACGCTGTGGGGAACACATCTCCACTTTCGTAGTGGTAGAGATAGTGCGTTGATCACTGGCGAGTTTGGTTGCAGTGCAGGCTTTGTGTTTCACCATGGTGTCTAGCGCGTATGTGTGCCGATGGAGGGATGGGAGGCCAAGTCTAAGGCGACTGTTATTTCTTTAAAAAAAAAAGTAAATAAAGAAATCCCGAGCTATGATTTGGGATATTGCAAATTGCTGGAGAGGATGCTTTGCGGGTACCGAAAAGGAGCTGTCCCTTCCCCTTGTTCGGGCACACATTGTTGCATGCTGGATGGAATTGGGACAACTGGGAGGTGAAGAACGGGGTTGAGGCTGCAGCCCGGGGCTCTGAAGCACAAAGAGCTGCAATGGTCGAATGCTGCAGTCTAGTGTTGGTCTAGTCCTGAGCCTCCGCCATTTCCAGCCTCCCTTAATAAAAACAAGTGCATAAAAGCCATTCAGTGTTAACCTGGAGCTGCTGGGGGTGATCCTGGTCTTAGGAGTGGGCTAGGTTTACTTAAGGTCCCAGACCTGAGCATGGAGTGTCCTACTGGAAACCTTGAAGACAGGGATACTTGTATCATCTGATGAGGCATTGGGGGCCAAGGTCAACTCATCTGGACTATGCGTTCCCTTTGGCTCTTGGGAACCAGCTTCTGTCATTGCAGCAGAATTAATCAGGGAGCATAAACATGTCAGAGGGAAGCCGAGGCTCAGTTAGTACAGTGCGTAGCAATGTTTGCCCTTAGAAGCAGGGACTGAAGTACTGGTCATTGAAAGCACACAGATGGTGGGCAGTGAGGTAGGCACCTCTGGCTTGCGCATTTCACCAGGGACTGGTTTATTCCTGGTGCACTTCACCAGTAAGGAGGGAAGCCAGGATGGCTACTATACTTCTGGTTCATTTCAGGTGTTTGTGGTATTCTCTGTGTATAGACCTGTTGTCTTTACTGTAACTGTGAACTCAATTTCAGTGAAGCATCACAGGGCCATAACTGGCTTTGCAACTCGTGTGTGACAAGTCTTGGGGAATTTTGTTATTTCCAGACTGGACTAACCCAGAACAGCCTGTGTAGCCTGAATTGCAGTCACTGAGTTTTGGAGGAGGCTGAAGAAGGTTCTATTTCCTTTCCTCAATAGGAGAGATGAGTTCCCATGATAACTCTGGTCCAGGACATTGTAGTGGCCAAATGGGAGCTCCATGTCTGCCACCAGCGATTAGATAGATTCTTATTTGGAACTGACTTGGACATTTTTTTTCTTTTGGTTTTTCGAGAAAGGGTTTCTCTGTGGCTTTGGAGGCTGTCCTGGAACTCGCTCTGTAGACCAGGCTGGCCTCGAACTCACAGAGATCCACCTGCCTCTGTCACCCGAGTGCTGGGATTCTGACTTGGACATTTTTATATTTATTTTCTGTTTTAAAATATCTCATTTTGGGCCGGTAAGATGACTTGTTAGGGTGCAGCTGTCAAGCCAAACAATTTGTGATCCCCACGACCCACTCTGTGAAAGGAGAGAACAGGCTCTGAAACATTGCCCTCTTGAGTTCCACACTGGTGGTTGTGGCATGTGCACTCTCATACACAAATAATTTTTGTTACAAAAATTAAAACGAAATAAAATAGCCAATTGTCTAATTCTGGGAGCAGAGATCTTAGTTTGAACAACTTACAAAGCCTGCCAAAATGGTGTCTGTATATGTAAGTATGCACATATATCTATAAATGTGCACACTGGGGATATGGGATCACATGTAGCCTAGGTTAACCTCAAATCGAGGGTTCTTTAGCATGCTTCTCAGTGCTGGAGCTATAAGCATGTGCCACCATACCTGGTGAGTTCACTGCATTTTTATTTTTAAAATTAGAGCAACTCACAAGTACCCTCCAACTTTGGATCCTGAGTTTTACAGATTTTGTGTAAGGCCTGTTGCTGAGTCAGGTGCCATCTGGATAAAGCTAGGTGATGCAAGATCCCTCCCACTGTTGGGAAATAGAGAGGCAGTGCTCATCATGGAGGAATGGGTAAAGCCTAGGAAGTTTCTGGGCTCCAGGATTTATATGAGAAGGTAACGTACAGTGAGATCTGAGTTCCATGTTTTGGAGAACACTACAGTGTGTGCATGTTGGGCTTCACTAGAAGAATTCAAAGACCTTCGTGATATTTTTCTCCTTCATCAGGAGAGGAGCCCAGAGCCTACTGGCTTCCGGAGTACTTTCCAGCGTCTGGGTTCCTGGTTTCTCAGTCAGGTTTCCCTTCCAGAGCTACCCTCCCTTTGGAGTCCAGCTGAGCAGAATGGGGTGAAGTGTGCAGAGGGGGTAGGGCCAGAATCCAGGATCAGCTCCCTTCCTTGACTTCTTTTCTCGTGGTAGGATAGTTGTCTGCAGAATACAGTGTGGGTTTGGTTAGTGTAGGCACCCTCCCTCTCGGCAGGGAGAATACTGGGGGAAGGTGGCTGGTTTTTCTGGAATACTTCTGACGTGTAGCTGAACAGAACCCAGTTCTTGCAGCCTCCACACCCTACTCCACCACCATAATGTTTCTGGGTGTATTTATGTGTGGCATAGATGGGGAGAGGTTCCTAAAGCACCTTGCTCGGGTCAGAGAGATTCCCCGCCAAAACCAAAAGGGGGACGGGAAGGATATGCTCGCTTGCTCAGGAGATTTGTTCCCTCCCCTTCCCCTGTGGCCTAAGGAGGGACTGGGTGATCTGTCTTTCTCTTCTCCGTGCATTTCCTTCCTCCTTTCCCCTTCGATTTTGTTTCACTGACTGTATTCCTTTTCTTCCAATGTTTCTGCTGTCTTTCTCCAGCTGTTCTTATCCTTGCACCCTGTGCCTCCCAGGGCTCGCTCAACCCTCTTCTCCCAATCTAGAGATACCACCATATCTCCCCAGTACCCGGCCCGCGAGCCCTTCACGCCGCCAAAGTGGGGGGGGGTGTCCACGTGGTGCTGACTTTTGTCCGCTTTTCACGTCTCAGTGCGTGATCGCCTCTTTGCCCCTTACCCCGTTACAGGATGACGGAGCGGCCGCCGAGCGAGGCGGCACGCAGTGACCCGCAGCTAGAGGGACAGGACGCGGCCGAGGCCCGCATGGCCCCCCCGCACCTAGTCCTGCTCAACGGCGTCGCCAAGGAGACGAGCCGCGCAGCCCCTGCGGAGCCCCCGGTCATCGAGCTAAGCGCGCGCAGCAGCGCGGGGGGCGGCCCCGCCGGTGGGGGCGGTGCCGTAAGGGACTTAAAGAGCCGCGACGCGGTGGCAGCAGAAGCTCGTCACCGAGTGCCCACCACCGAGCTGTGCAGACCTCCCGGACCCGCTCCGGCGCCTGCCCCCGCCACGGCCCCCACAGAGCTGCCTGGAGACGGCCGCATGGTGCAGCTGAGCCCGCCTGCGCTGGCAGCCCCTGCCGGCCCTGGCCGAGCGCTGCTCTACAGCCTCAGCCAGCCACTGGCCTCTCTCGGCAGGTGAGCGCCTTGGTCCCCTGCTGTGTTAAGGGTCTAGGAGGGCCTCAAGGAGAGCGGAGGTGGCTAAAGACGAAAGGACGTAAGGGAGTAGTGGCTAGAGTCCCCCACTCCTGGCACTAGCAAGAAAAGAGCCCTCAGTGAGACAGACTGGCAGGCAGAACCGAAGAGACCTAAGGAGTGCACAGTTATGTTGAAACCCGGGATACTCGCCTGCTTCTTTGAGGATGCCGGCGTGTGAGTTGGTGTGGGAAGCAGCGGAGGTTGCTGAGAACCGTGTTAGGCAGGAGGGGTTCTTTTGAGTGTGAGTTCCAGGCCAGTGTGTGAATGAATGCGCCTCTGCAGCAGAGGCGAGCTATGCTGCAAAGGGTGACTTCTGCATCGAAATTTGGGTGGTTGTTAAGGCCAGCTCTTCTCAACCTCTGCTAGGATGCTGTGAGCAACACGGCCATCCGGCCATCCGCACCTAGGCCTTCTGCCCCCTCCCTGCGTTGTTGGGGCCATCCTGGTATAGCTGGTGTGAGAACTCTGGCTTCCTTGCTGGCCCCCCGTGGTGAGGGCAAATGAGAGGCGGGCAGAGGGAAGGAATAGTAGGAGAAGGCGTGGTGGCAGAGCAGCCGGACCGGACCGCTGTGTCGAGTTAGTGAGCCAGCGTTAGCGATCCAGAAGGGATGGGGGAGAGATGGTGGAGGGAGGTTGGCTGTTGTATTGGAGTTTTCTGTCACCGCCTGTGTCCTCCCGTGTAGGTACCTGTCCCTGAGTGAAGGTGTCTGCCAGGATTGCATGATTGTTGGGCGTGTGGGGAGGCAAGTGTGTGTTTGTGGTGTGTGTGCGTGTGTGCTCACGTGCGGACACACACATTCATGTTTTGTTTCATATGTCCACCTGCTTCAGTTCTGTGCAGGGAACAGAGTTGCCTTAAGGGGAGGGGAATCCAAGACATTTAGGGAGAATACATTTAAGAAGCCCTTTTGTCTTCAACCTCCTTGCTATCCACTGCTCTTTCCACAGTGGGTTCTTTGGGGAGCCAGATGCCTTCCCTATGTTTACCAACAACAACCGGGTGAAGAGGAGGCCCTCCCCATATGAGATGGAGATTACTGATGGTGAGTCTATACTCTTCCCTCACCCTGGTTAGAGCCATCTGCAGTGGGGAGCATGGGGACAATGCAGATATCTCACAGAGGTGAGAAGGTCACCCTGGAACTCCAAACTGCCAGAACTCTGCATCCTGGAGCTGAGTTAGGACTGGCACTCAAATCTGTAGTGTCAGCCACATGCAGTTCCCATTCTAGGCTTGATCCCTACACCCTGGCAAGGATCCAGGAGGGTAGAAACACTCCAGGTCCCCAACTCCAATTCCTGACCTGCAGGAAGTCCCTGAGCTGCATCTCAAATCCACTTTGGAATCTCTGGCTGGAGCTGTGTCTTTTAAGAGTGTCTTGCCAGGTCTGTCTACTGTCCCCTCTGTCCCTCTTCCACATTCTGGGCTGAGATTGATAGTGGCTTTGGTGCCATGGAATATGTACAACCAGGGAAACTCAGCACTGCTGGGAACTCTCTGCATACTCTTTGGCCTGGATGAGTGAAGATTTGGAGCCCTGCCCACTCCTCCCAATGTTGACCTGATGGTACCAGGACAGGAAAATGGTCTCTCAGCAGGCTAAGGGACTCAGGCCAATGGTGGGATTCTCAGTGCTGCTGTCTGTGGGCTGAGGGGGGAGGGAGCTGCAGGAAGTGCATTTAGGCTAGAGTGGAGGCTGAGAGCCTGTAGAAGTTGTGTCTGTGGCAAAACTTGAGCTTCTAGAGAAAGGTCTAGAAAGGAAAAGGCTGGAGTCTGACAATACAGAAGAGACACCATAATCCACAACAGCCCAGGATCCAGGCATCTAGCACAAAGAGGATTGATCAGCTCTTTACAGGTTCTGTGGCCATGTAGGTGCTCCTGACTCCTCTTTCTCTGCCTGTCAGAAAGTTGTCAGGGGACAGTGACATTGTGTCCACCTCATACTGGGATCTCCTTATCACAGGAGTTCCGTGTGTCTCATCCCTAGCTTGATTCCCAGCACAAACACATTGCTAACAGTCAGTCACCCCAAGCATATGAAGTGAGACAGTGAGAGCTATCATTCCTGCCATTTGTTGGACACCTATTTCATGTACCAGACTTTTTCTTGTATGCTTAGACTTGGTGTAATTCTCAACACAAATCCATGTGGTTAATTTTGTTTCTATTCACAGATGAAGAATGTGAGTCTCAGAGAGGTTAAGCAGCCTGTTCAAAGCCATAGAGCCCAGTACTAAACCATGATTATAGCATTGACCTTAGACTTTGGAATAAGTTCTGGATCCCTCCTTACCCTACGATGACAGTTATAATGCCCCTGTTCACCTAGGAACTTCCACCAGCTCATGAACATTAGCCACAATACAAAGGACTGGTCCTATATCACAGCTGAAAGACCCCCCTCTTTGGTCTAGAGGTCTGGGGATACCAAATTGCTTTTCTGAGGCAGTTCAGTGTAGGTCTACCCTGTAGGTTTGTGGTCTTTTCCCAGGTCTGTTTCTGACACTTAAAAAGCTTCCGGGAGCTGCAAGTAAGGCAAGGGCTAAGGAAACTTCTCGGGGGTGGGTTGGGGGGGGATAAAGCATAGAGTGTGTGTATAGGCACATGCAAATGAGAGAAAGGGACCATCAAGAAGTAGGCATCTACTTGGTCAAGTAAGTCCTAGACTGAGCACTGCCTCCATCCTTAGCCATAAAGTGACCAGTGGATTCAGATGTCCTCATCCCTCACTTCCCCCTCCCCAAGTTTCCAGTCTGAGTCCTGGACTTAGTGGTTCCTGGAAGAGGATAAGTAGGGTCCTCAGGCTGGGCTGTCCCTTCTGTACACCAAACTTCTTAATGGTTTCCAGGGCTATGGCTTTGTGGTAGCAGACAAGATTGCTACCACACTGGGGGGACCTCCAGTGTTTTTCCCTGCCCTGACAATCCCAGGTCATGTTTGAACACTTGACCCAGTGCCCTGTATACCCTAGCGTTGCATGCATGTACATTGGTATTGGCTGCTGTCTGGCAGTCTTAGCATCAGTGTGGTAATGATTATTGGGTCCAGAGGCAGTCCTTAGAACCATGGCTGTGCATGGCCGTTTTCTACTCCTTTCTTGGGATTGGAGGCCTAGAGGTTTTCCCTTTCTCTTCTGCTCTCCATCCTCCCCTCTCTTCTCCTGCCTGCCCCTGTGGTAGTCTACTTAGGAAACATACTAAGCTGGAACTTTGCACTGAATTTATGCCTTTCTTACTGTAGGGCCTTATGAGATATGAACCCGGCTTCCTCTTCTCTTATGCCTACTACTACTCCAGCCAGGCAGGCTCCAGTCGTATTTCTTTTTCTTCTTTTTCTTTCTTTTTTTTTTTTTTTGGTTTTTACGAGACAGGGTTTCTCTGTATTGTTTTGGAGGCTGTCGGTCCAGCCTGGCCTCAAACTCACAGAGATCCACCTGCCTCTGCCTCCCGAGTGCTGGGATTAAAGGCGTGCACCACCACTGCCCGGCTCCAGTCGTATTTCTACCTCAGGACTTTGCATGTTTTATTCCATCTGCTCAGGGTCTTTTCTTCCCTTCCTGTGTCTGGATGACTTTGCTTCAACCTAAAGTTTTGTTTTTGGTTTTAAATAAATGCTTTGCTAGCCACCTTAGCTAACTACAGTAGCTTTACACCTTTTACTTGACAGTCTGCCCTTTTGTTGTGTTTTTAAATTTTTCTTTTGTTTCTTGTTATTCTCTCATCTTCGTTAAAATATGAACTCCACAAGGGTAGAGGCCCTGCCTGTCTTATTCCCCCTATTTGATACCGAGGTGCTTTTTGGCTCTTGAGGCTCTCCATAGAGGAGCCCTTTGGAGGTCTCTCCCTGCTTTTGACACATGTCCTTCCATCTTCAGGTCCTCACACCAAGGTGGTGCGGCGCATCTTCACCAACAGCCGGGAGCGATGGCGGCAGCAGAATGTGAACGGGGCCTTTGCTGAGCTCCGCAAGCTGATCCCCACCCACCCACCAGACAAGAAGCTAAGCAAGAATGAGATCCTTCGCCTCGCCATGAAGTACATAAATTTCCTGGCCAAGTTGCTTAATGACCAGGAGGAGGAAGGCACTCAGCGTGCCAAGCCTGGCAAGGACCCTGTGGTGGGAGCCGGTGGGGGTGGGGCAGGGGGTGGCATGCCCCCTGAAGACCTTCTACAGGACGTGCTGTCCCCCAACTCCAGCTGTGGTAGCTCTCTGGATGGAGCAGCCAGCCCGGACAGTTACACAGAGGAGCCAACGCCCAAGCACACTGCCCGCAGCCTCCACCCTGCCCTGCTGCCTGCCACTGATGGGGCTGGCCCCCGGTGATGCGTCTGGGGCTGCCCAGGGCCAGCAGGTAGGGGCCCTTAGGCCCCTGGGTTGCTGGGCTTCGGGGCAGGTGGGATGTGAAGCAGGGCAGTGGGCTTGGTGAACTTCCCTTGTACTCTGAACTTTGGGAAGTCCCAACTGACCCTGGGCTGGTGTTTCTGTTTCCTGCTTGGAAACAGAAGAGAAAAACAGAGTGTATTAGTAGGTACTTTATCCGAAGATGGCACAGTCTTCTCCCTTTCCCAACTTCCAAGACTTCTCAGTTAGTGGCTCAAGTGTCACTGCTTTTGATCTAGAGTTTGTGAGCCTTGTTTTGGACAAGATCTGGGATTGTCACCCATTACCTGAGGCATCCAGCAGCCTCTGCCTTGCCTTTAGTCCATCCCGAGCTGGCTGGGGTGGCTTTTGTGGCAGCTTCTGTTCAAATATATAGGTACCCAAGAGCTGCCCATTTCTCGAGTCCCATCTTCACCCAGGTCCGAGTTGATCCATCTAGCTTGCCAGCTGCTCCAGAGAGTCAAGCCTCGAGGTGCCTTCTTCAGGGCTTGGTTGGAAAAGATGGCCAGTGAACAGACAGTCTGCTCTCAACGAGCTGGGCCAGAAAACCCAACAGCCCTTCTTGCTCCGGGGAATCGGAGCTCTGCTTTCTCCCCACTGAGACTTGCCTCCCTATCCTGCAGCTGTAAGGACCAAGTCAGCAGCCTGGAGCATGCTCTGTTGGGCTGTGTGCAGGCTCAGGGAGAGAAAGTGACATTAGAGTGAAACAAAGCAAGAGTGTTTGGGGCATTGGCTTTCACCTCCTGCACAGCACTGTCTGTGCAGGGGAGCAGACAATAGCGTGCTGATGCATTGCATGTCAGGGCTGGGGTTATGCAGCCCATAGGCTTTCCCGGGGAAGCTTCCTGTTGCAAGATGTCTGTTGGTTGATGGTCTGGACTTCCAAATGGAGTACAGACTGTTCCGTAAATACTCTATTTGGGACTCTGCCTAACCAGTTGTTGGTGGAAACTCGGGGTCATGATACAACCCAAGAGGCAACCTGCTGCTAGGGCGAGGAGTTCAGTCAGAGGTGAGGCCCTGGCTTGGGACCTAAGCATGCAGATTTGCTCAGCCCAACTTTAAGTATGCTCCTGTCACACAACTGCAGGCCCCGTGTGTGTGCATGGTAGGTTGGTTTAATGCAACGTGAGTGCCCCCTCTAACAGCTGTACATGAAATTTTTGTAAAGCAAATCCTTCTCCTTCACCCATGCAAATCATTTTGTAAAGTGGAGAATCCTTTTGTAGTATGAACAACTGCCCCATTGTCTCTTTCCTGTGTTAATCCTTGTGGTGGGACCTAGTTTTCTTTAAGAAAGTTCTGCTTATAATGAAGTTTAAGCCCATGGAACAAACTGCACAGAAGTCCTGTGTATCTGTCATTGTACCAGAGTCACCTGGAGCGCTCTCTCTGTCTCTGTCTCTCACTGTCTCTGTCTCTCTGTCTCTGTCTCTGTCTGTCTCTCTCTCTGTCTCTCTCTGTGTGTGTGTGTCTGTCTGTCTGTCTCTCCCTCTCTCCCAGTCTTCCTAGAATTTGCCTTTGAGTCAGAGAGAAAATATCCAAAGGCCCCATCATGTAATGTAAGGGCCTATCACTTTTCTGTTTGAGTTTCAGTACCACGATGGGGCCCGAGTATATATAGACTTAGGCACCCCTCCCCTTCCTATTAAGCACTGAGGTCCCCCAGCCATAGGGACACTATGGTAAGTTACTAAGGCACTGGGATTCTTTGTCTCATAATGCACTGTGCTGTCACATGTATTGCCATGAACATTAAAGCTGCTTTCTTTCCATTGCTTGGGAGTTAGCACAAGGAGTCTGACCTACATGAAAATGGAACAACTGTCCTGAGCTCAAAGGCTGTGCTTTAATCTCAGCGGGGTGATTGCTTGGGAATGAAAAATGTTGATCTGTAGGTGAATTTTCTGAGAGAGACCCCACATTTGTTGGGAGCTTATTGTATGGTTTGTAGTGTCCCTGGGAGGGATACACTAGGTGTTGGGGTGGACTGACTCTGATAATGGGTCTGTAAAGATTCTGTTGCACACTAAGGACACAGTGCAGTGGAGAGCAGCACACATGAGGTGCTGGGTTCAATACCCAGCACAGACACAAAAGCTTCATTACCCTTAGTGATGACCCTGCAGTGAGGTTCTGGCCAGAGTTCAGGCCCTGGGCAGTTGCTATTTGTGTAATTTAGGTTATAAAGTACTTTCCCTTCAGATATCCAGATCCTCATTTCTCTAGATTTATTTTAGTTTCTCCCTTATTCCAAGGCAATAGACAGGAGTGAGAAAGGGAGAGAGATTGGGGATACGGACAGTGCCTCCAGACTGATGTACTTCCTATGGGGCTGGAAGGGAAGGGCTAGGGCTTTGGTCTTTGTAAGATCTAAGGAAGACCCCAAAATTCTGTTTTCACCTTCAACACCCCATATCTCTCTTCCTTTGCCTCCTCCTGATCCTTGAAGAAATGGCAACATCCCAAGAATAATATCTGTACAAAATGGGAAAATGTAAACATGAAAAAACATGTGAGGAAAACAATGAACGTAAGAATTAGAAAGAATCATACCTTTCAAGAATAATTTATGTTTATTTGTTGTGGCAAGTGACAAGATGGTACAACCTTTATCCTTTTCCAGAAACACAAGGCGAAGGGCACAGCAACTGTAGTGAGCTGACAGCTATTTTGGCCTTTTGGGTGGGTCTAGCCATACTTGGGATCCCAGTGGTACATGGCCCTCCACAAAAGGCTTGCCCCAGCCTGTGTACACAGCACGCCTTGTCCGTGGGCAGGCCCAGCACTTTCCGTCAGTGTCGTACTGTATGTGATGAACTGTGTTGGTCTCTGAGTTTTTCTGCAGAAGAGGAGTAACTGCTCCGGGTACATTGATGTTTGTTCAGCCTAGAGGCCAACACTGTGGGCGTGTGACTCTTTATTGGGGGGAAAAATAAAACAAAAAATATCAGTGTGGTGATGATGGTGTGTGTGTGTATAAGGTTATATGGGGGAATATTTCTAAATAAAAGTTTTACAAAGGGGCCTGGACTTTGCTCACACTTTGCACCCTGGAGCCCGAGAATGGGGACATTAAAATGAAGGGCCTGGCAAGGGTTGGCTCCACTCCTCTTAAGAAGTGGAACCCTGCTCCTACTCTCAGAACGAGTCTGTAGGGAGGAAGGAGGCTACTCTCTGGGGGCGGGCTGCCGTCTTTCCCTCCTGCAAGGCTTCACAGGGCTTCAGCACCCTGTCCTAGTGTTTGCAGCCATGGGCAGCCTGTTGGGTTAGCTTCCTCCTTCCCATTACATCAGTTTCCCTGGTTGGGGCCATTGCTCACAGCGAGGGCTTAGGACAGACAAATGAAGATGTTACCTACCATTGGTGTCCTTAGGTTTCTGGATGACTCAGTGGATGCTGTAGCTGTTATACCTAGCCTTTTTTCTTTTTAAGAGATTTTAAATTTATTTTATTTTATGTGTATGGGTGTTTTGCCTGTATGCATGTCTGCACCAAATGTGTGCAGTGCTCACAGCGGCCAGAAGAGGGTGTTTGTCCCATGGTATTGGAGTTACGGCCAGTTGTGAGCTGCCTTGTAGGTGCTGAAGTTTCATGAATAGAATTTGAGACAGAGACTGTGGGTCTTGGGGAGGCCATTGCACATGGATGGCTGATCCCTTGGGAATTTGCAGGTGGGCACCTCCAACTGAGTGTAGCTTCTGTTTTCTCATTTAATAGGCATTTGCTAAGCACCAGCTCTGGGCAGATACTGTTCTGTCGGCAAGGGTTCAGCACTGAACAAAACAAACATGGAGTTCTCCACTGAAGCTTACATTCTAGAAGGGAGAAGGTAAATGTGCAAACACACACAACTAGAGTTAATCAGAAAACAATTAGCATTAACCCACAGTGAGTTTCAGGCCAGCCTGGCCAACACGAGACAGTCTCAAAAACCAAGACCAAAAGGAGTGGTAAGGAACAAAAGGGAACAGATTAACAAGGATAGTTCAGGGAAGGCCCTAGGATGCCATCTTTTCCATTCAGGGTCAGAGAGTTCCTGGCTTAAGGAACAGCGTTGTCCTAGGGACAAGATTGGGTCTGTCTACCTGTTACATGGCCTAAGAGGCTCTGAAAAGGCTTTTACTTTCTTCCTCTCTGGACCTCACTCACCCCCACAAGTAGAGATGTGGACACCAGCTCAGATGCCCTCCACCAGGGAATTCAACGGTCTCACAGGTAATTCCCATCCTGCCTGTCTCTAGTCTCAGCAACACTTGCCTTCTTGGCTCCGATCCATCTCCGGGGGTTGGGGGGTGGTAGGATTCAGTCTGAGTGTCAAGATCTGAACCAGCCTGTTGGGAACTCCTCCGATACACCTCTCCCGGGTCCAGGGCAAGGAATATGATTTGGCCTTGAGGTGGGGAGAAAAAAGAGATGTTAGGCTCTCAGCCTGGAGTGGCAGGATGAAGGGACTGCCGTGAAAGGAGAGAAAGAAAGAGGATAGAGAAGGAAGAATAGTGTTTAGGGTGGAGGAGTAGCCAGCTGTGTTCAGTACAGCTGAGGAGAGGTTGAGCTAGTCGGTTTTAGCATGGATGGCTGATGGCTGGGAGAGAGCAGCAGCAGAGAGGAGTAGAGGCAGCAGTCTGAGGGTCCTAGGATACCCCTCCCCATTCTAGAAGGGCTTTCCTCAGGAGAAACAAGCCTTTCCAAGTAATGGGAACAGAGAGGGCCCATGGACTCTGGCCACTGAGAGAAAAGACAGGCTCTTGGAGGTCATCTGTGGAGACAGAGACCCAGAGAGAAAATGTCTTTCCAAGCCTTGCATTCCATAGTGACAAGTAGGCAGGCCCAGGCCTCCTGTGCCCGAGACAGTGTTGTTCCTGAAGCCCAGAGTCCCTGACTCCACAAAGAAAGAAAAGCACACTGAGGCCTTGCTTGAAATATTTTTTATCTGTTCCCTTTTTACCACTCCTTTTTGTTGTTGATATTGTTGCATTTTTGTTTGTTTGTTTGTTTGTTTGTTTTTCTGAGGCAGGATCTCATGTAACCCAGGCTGGCCTTGGACTCACTAAGTAGCTGAGGATGACCTTGAACTTCTGATCTTCCTGCCTCTATCTGGAGCGCTTGGATTACAGGTGTACACTACCGTACCAGGTTTATTCCGTGATAGGAGCTGACCCCAGGGCTTTGTGCACACTAGGTAAACACTCTACCAACTGGGCCACATCCCACCCCACCCACCCCTCACTCTTTAGCTCCTGCTGTACTATCTTCCTTCCTGTTCTGGACTATTGTTTTTTTCCCCTAAGATTTATTTATTTATTACGTATACAGCATTCTGCCTGCATGTATACCTGCAGGCCAGAAGAGGGCGCAAGATCTCATTACAGATGACTGTGAGCCACCATGTGGTCGCAGAGAATTGAATTCAGGACCTCTGGAAGAGCAGTCAGTGCTCCTCACCGCTGGCCATCTCTCCAGTCCTCTTTTATTGTTTTGTGACATGTCAGGTTTTTTTCACTTTTGGTTTATTTTTCACATATATTATCACCCTCTTTACCCACTCTCCTTTAATTGGTCGATTGTCTTTGAAGTCTGGGAAGCTTTCCTGACCATGGGGTTGGGTGCCTCCTTTTCATCCCCATGGGACACCCTGTATGCTGGCCCTTCCCACCCTAACATCCCCCTGTCTATCTGCTTCTGGACTGGAGTCAGGTTGGACTAAGCCTTCTGCCCCAGCCCCTTATGTTACAAAGATTCAGGTTCCTTTCCTACTGACAACGAACAATGGCTCCTCCCCCTGCAGGCTCTTCTTTTCTCTCTGGGCCTCATTTCTGACAGCGGCAAGAGAGCCAGGGCAGGGGAGTCTTTCCTGCTTCCTGGGCTGGTTAGGGGCAGGTGGGCGGCTCAGTCCTGGCGTGGCCAGGGAGGAGCAGTGGTAGCTCTCCTCTGGAAGGACGATGGTGTTGGTTCTTTCTTATGGAAGGGGTGTGGAGGAGGGCACGCACCGTCTGGAACAGCCTAGTTTTCAGCGTAGACTGAAAGGCTGGTGTTGCATAGTAAGGGTGGGGGCTGTGTATCCATCCAGTCCATTCCCAGCTGTCTGGCCCCCTCATATCAGCCCCTACTTGCTTCTCTCTCTGTAGAACAGGGGTGTGTTCCCCAGAAGTCACCACTGTGCGTTACCTCGCTGCCCATGTAAGCCAGGCACCGGGCATGCTCAATCGTAGAACTCAATTGCCATGAATCTGAGTGAAGGAAGGCATGTATACCTGGATCAAATAAGGGAGGACCCGAAGCCCACGGTTTGAAGGGCATTGAGAAAGGTGAACGAGATGTAAACTCAGGGCTCCCCCAGAACTGGTGCTCCAGGTCCCTTAGGAAGGTCAGGAAAGTGAAGAGATGGCCAGTAGGCAGCTGGAGTTCTTAGAGGAGCTGGCTGTGCTCTCCCTATGGGCATGATGGTTACAGATTTAGGATCAGGACTTTTGATTCAGATGTGCAGGCAGCGAGGAGCTTGCTGGTTGGAGGACAGGCTCAGGGGATGACTGTGGCGACAGTGAGGAAGGAAAGTTATGTGGCCCAGATCATGATGGGGGAACCCGAGCCTGGCTGGAAGTGAGCAGCAAAAGCAGGAAGACCACTCGAAGAGTCTGGCGTGGAGTCAGGGTCACTCAGGCTGTTTGAGGTCTGCTACTGCTGCTGGCGTGTCTGGGTGTGCTGGCTTGTGACTTCGGGGGAGCTGCTTTATCATTTTGAGGCTGGTTTCTTTATCTGTTAAATGGGGATGTTCGCACTCATCTTCTAGGACTGTCACGGGACTTCAAAATAATATATGCAAAGTGCCTGTTTTATACAAAAACAGATTATATGGGGAGATTTATAGAAGGCATAGTTTTTCCTGGAAATGGGACCAGGATGGGACTGTCCTAACAGAAGAGACGAGGGAATGGGTATTAATCACCCCGCAGCAGCAGGACGTTCTGTGGGCCTGTTCCTTGCCAGGTAAGGCTGGGTGGCCATCAAGGACCACCCACTTCAGTTCATGGAAGAACCCTCAAGGCAAGTGCTATGGGAGGGACTTAGTGGTATGTGCAGCCCAGCTCTGACAATAGGGACTCTGAGCAAGTGTGTGCTGAACTAAAGGGTCCTGAGGGAAGTTTGGGAGGTATCTGGGAGGAGATTCCACTTTCTGTCCTGAGCATTGTCTGTTTCTCTTTGAGGTAGTGCATGCTGGTCCAGGCATGCTGGCTTCCTCCTGGGTCCCATACTCTTGCCCAGGCTACCTAGGGTGAGGAACACTCCTGGAGTTTCCCACATGGCTGTGATGTGCCTTCCAGCCCCTCCTTACTCTTTCCTCACTGGCTTGGTCTGAGCTCTGGCCCTCCCCAGTTCCTGGGCTTTTCTCTCCACACAATAACAGGATGTGATCAGTTTGAAGAGAGGAAGTGGGGGAGGACTGCTGTACTGATAGCAGGGAAGGAGAGGGGGTTCTGACTCTTGTCCTCCCCTGCTCTGTTAACCAGCCTCTGTAGCTCCTTTTCCTCTAAGCCCTTACCCTAGGCTTCTATCTGAGACCACTAGGGATAAACTTGGGTCTTCAGGCCCATTCAGGACTGTTTGCCTGTGGAGAGGCATGCCTTGACCACACCTTCTGCAAGGCCTGCCTTCTGGAGAGGCTTGCTGGCCATGCTTTAGATGTTGGGCTATTTTCTGCCTTGTAGCTGCCGGAGTCTAAGGGTAGGCAAGTGGGTCATTCAGCAGTGCTACATCTGTCCAATGGCTTCCCAAGTCCATGCCAGCATGATCCCAGCATGATCCAGTGCAGTGGGTGATAGAATCAATCAAAAAGTTCTTGTCAAATGTTGGTTTGGCGTGGCCTTGTACAGTGTTTGGGCCAGGCTGCAAAGATGGAAAGGAAAATTCAGAGAGACAAATGTATTAGTCAGGGTTCTCTAGAGTCATAGAACTTATGGAATGAATCACTCTCTCTCTCTCTCATTCTCTCTCTCTCTCTCTCTCTCTCTCTCTCTCTCTCTCTCTC